ACACATTATATTAGGAAAGAATGGGAGGAAGAAAGTTCAAAGTCATTGTGAAGAGTTTAGTAACCTGGGAGAAGTTACTAAATATAACACATATATCTAAAAAGATGATCAGTGCTGATCACTGTGGTGAGCTAAATATATACTCATAAGAAATTGTTTAGGGGCACCTGGGTGGTTCAGTCAGTTAAGGTCTGACTCTTGATTTTGACTCGGGTAATGATCTCATAGATCGTGAGTTTGAGCCCTACATTGGGCTCTGCCCTGACAGTGCAGAATCTGCTTGGGTTTCTCTTCCTCTCTCTCTGCTCCTCCCCACTCATGTTTTTTTTTTTTTCTCTCTCTCTGTCTCTCTTTCCCTCCCATCCTCTCTCTAAAGAAACTTAAATAGTTTTGTTTAATGGTTTCTGGTCTCACATTTATGTTTTTCATCCATTTTGAATTTATTTTTGTGTATGGTGTAAGAAAGTGGTCCAGGTTCATTCTTCTGCATGTCACCATTCAGTTTTCCCAACACTTTTTGTTGAAGAAACTATCTTTTATTCCAATGAATATTCTTTCCTGCTTTGTCAAAGATTAGTTAACCATATAGCTGTAGGTCCATTTCTGGGTTTTCTATTCTGTTGCATTATGTGTCTGTTTTTGTGCCAGTACCATACTATCTTGAGGACTATGATTTTGTAATATAGCTTGAAATATGGAACAGTGATGCCTCTAGTTTTGTTTTCCTTTTTCAGGATTGTTTTCGCTATTTGGGGTCTTCTGGGGTTCCATACAAATTTTTGGATTGTTTGTTCTAGCTCTTTGAAAAATGCTGGTGGTATTTTGATAGGGATTGCATTAAATGTACAGATTGCTTTTGGTAGTATAGACATTTTAACAGTGTTTGTTCTTCCATTCCATGAGGACTGAATGCTTTTCCATTTCTTTATGTCCTCAATTTCTTTCATAAGTGTTCTATAGTTTTCAGAGTATAGATTTTTTTACCTCTTTGGTTAGGTTTATTTCTAGATATCATATTATTTTTGGTGCAAATGCAAACAGAATCAATTCCTTTATTTTTCTGTTGCTTCATTATTGGTGTATAGAAATACAACAGATTTCTGCATGTTGATTTTATATCCTGTGACTTTGCTGAATTCACATATTAGTTCTAGCAATTTTTTTTTGGTGGAGTCTTTTGGGTTTACTACATAGACTATCATGTCATCTGTGATAGTGAAAGTTTTACTTCCTCCTTGCTGATTTGGATGCTTTATATTTCTTTTTGTGTCTGATTGCTAAGGCTAAGAATTCTAATACTATGTTCAATAGTAATGGTGAGAGTGGACATCCTTGTCTTGTTTCTGACTGTAGGGGAAAGGCTCGCAGTTTTTCCCCACTTAGGATGATATTAGCTGTGGGTATTTTATATGTGGCCTTTATGACACAGAGGTATGTGTCATCTATCCCTACTTTGTTGAGGGTTTTTATACAAAATGGATGCTGTATTTTATCAAATGCTTTTTCTGCATTTATCAAAAGAATCATGTGTTTCTTATCATTTCTTTTACTAATGTGGTATATCACATTGATTGATTTGTGAATATTGAACCAGTCCTGCAATGAAGGAATAAATTCCACTTGATCATGGTGAATAATTCTTTTAATGTACTATTTAAATAGATTTGTTAGTATCTTGTTGAGAATTTTTGCATCTATGTTCATCAGGGGTATTGGCCTGTGATATAGGAAACCATCAAAATCCTAGAGGAGAACACAGGCAGCTACCTCTTTGACCTCAGCCAGAGCAATTTCTTACTAGACATGTCACCGAAGGCAGGGAAACAAAAGCAAACATGAACTATTGGGACTTTATCAAATGGCTAAAATGAACAAATCAAGAGACTATAGATGCTGGCGAGGATGTGGAGAAACGGGCACCCTCCTACACTGTTGGTGGGAATGCAAACTGGTACAGCCCCTCTGGAAAACAGTGTGGAGGTTCCTCAAAAAATTAACAATAGAACTCCCCTATGACCCAGCAGTAGCACTTCTGGGAATTTACCCAAGGGATACAGGAGTGCTGATGCATAGGGGCACATGTACCCAATGTTCATAGCAGCACTCTCATCAAAGCCAAAGCATGGAAAGAACCTAAGTGTCTATCAACTGATGAATGGATCAAGAAGATGTGGTTTATCTATACAATGGAATACTACATGGCAGTGAGAAAGAATGAAATCTGGCCATGTGTAGCAACATGGATGGAACTTGAGGGTGTTATACTGAGCGAAGTAAGTCAGGCAGAGAAGGACAGATACCATATGTTTGCACGTATAGGTGGATTAGGAGGAACTTAATGGAGGACCATGGGGGAGAAGAAGGGGAAAAATAGTTGGGGACAGAGAGGGAGGCAAACCATGAGAGACTCTTGAATGCTGAGAACAAACTGAGGACTGATGGGGGTGGGGAGAGGGGAATGGGGGTGATGGGCATGGTGGAGGGCACTTGTGGGGATGAGCACTGGGTGTTATATGGAAACCAACTTGACAATAAACTATTTTAAAAAAGCTTCTGCACAGTGAAGGAAGCAATCAACAAAACTAAAAGGCAGCCTACAGCATGGGAAAAGATATTTGCAAATGAGATATCTGATAAAGGGTTAGTATTCAAAATCCATAAAGAACTTATCAAACTCAACATCAAAAAGCAATAATCCAGGTAAGAAATGGGCAGAAGACATGAAAAGACACTTTTCCAAAGAAGACATCTAGGGTGCCTGGGTGGCTCAGTCGGTTAAGCTACTGACTTCAGCTCATGTCATGATCTCACAGTTTATGAGTTTGAGCCCCACACTGGGCTCTGTGCTGATACCTCAGAGCTCGAAGCTTGCTTCAGATTCTGTGTCTCCCTCTCTTTCTGCCCCCTTCCACTTGTGCTCTCTCTCTCTCAAAAAAAAAAAAAAAAAAAAAAAGACATCAAGGTGGCTAACAGACACATGAAAAGATGCTCAACATTACTCACCATCAGGGAAATACAAATCAAAACCACAATGAGATACCACCTCACACCTGTCAGAATGGCTAGAATTAACAACACAAGAAACAACAGGTGTTGTGAGGATGCTGAGGAAGGGGACCCTCTTGCACTGTTGGTGGGAATGCAAACTGGTGCAGCCACGGTGGAAAACAGTATGGAGGTTCCTTAAAAACCTGAAAATAGAACTACCCTATGACCCAGCAATTGCACTATGAGGTATTTACCCAAAGGACACAAAAATACAAATTTGAAGGGGTACATGCACCCCAATGTTTATAGCAGCATTCATGGCAATAGCCAAACCATGGAGAGAACCCAAATGTCCATTGATAGATGAATGGATAAAGAAGATATGGTATACACACACACACACACACACACACACACACACACACACACAATGGAATATATCTCAGCCAACAAAAAGGATGAAATCTTTCCATTTGCAATGGTGTAGGTGGAGCTAGAATGTATTCTGCAAAGTGAAATAGTCAGAGGAAGATAAATACCATATAATTTCACTCATATGTGGAATTTAAGAAATAAAACACACAAGCATGAAGGAGGGTATAAAAGAGAAGAGAAGGAAACAAACCACAAGAGAGTCTTCATGAAAGAGAACAAACTATGGGCTGACAGAGGGAGGCGGGAGGGAGATGGGCTAATGGGTGATATGTATTAAGGAGGGCACTTGCTGTGATGAGCACTGGGTGTTGTATGTAAGTGATGAATCACCTAATTCTACTCCTGAAACCAATATCGCACTGTATGTTAACTAAATAAAACTTAAACAAAAAATAAAATAAGATAAAAAGAATTCGTTTAAGTGCCATAGACGTGAAAAGTGATGGTCACTTTTCCAAGGCTGAAACTATGAATCAGCAGATATTGGCCACCATCTCGCGCTGACCATATGGAGTGGATTTGCAATTCTTACAGTGATCAAGAGAAAATAAGAATAAGATCCAATTGAAGTAGGCTTCATTCCCTTAACAGACTCACAAGCATTGCAGAAAAAAATAACAAAAGTGCAGAATAAGCATGTGTTCCCAGTAAAGTTTAGGAAGAAAGTTCTTATAGGAATAGCAACTATGGTAAAATGGTCTAGAAATATATCTTTGGTGAGTGGTGGGTCTACAAGTCAATGAGCAGCAGGAAGAATGGCAACAGCTAGACATACACAGGAGCGGCAGTAAGTAGTCCTGCGGCAGGGACGTTGGTAGCAGGTTGGGTGGCAGCAAGGCTGGTAACAGATCCACAGCCCTGGGCCAGGCACCCAGGCAGGCAGCAGTATGGTAGCAGGTTCTCCTGCAGTGTAGGCGATACAGCAATCTGGCAGGAGCAGGGAAACAGCAGCAACTGGGGCAGCAGCAAGGTTGGCAGCAGCTGGAGCCACAGCCACTGGACTGAAAGCAGCTGGTCCTGCAGCAAGTAGGCTGGCAGCAAGGGAAACATCACAGTGTTTTCTAACACGTCTGAAGATCTGACTGTAAGTGTGCTTCAGCAAGTGCAGGAACCACAATCTGGGATCTCAGTCTGTCCATGTCAGCTCTGTGACATGCCACTGTGAAATGACCTCGTCTGAAAATGCACATAATAATTTGTGGAGAAATGTGTATGGCTCCAAATAGACACTGCATGTGATGTGCAACGTATGTACAAATCCTTACATTGGGAACAGTGTACAAAGAAACAAAGACAATATGAGATTCCAAATGATACAGGATTTATTAAGAGATATAGGAGAGACTACCTGGGTTTAGGGAGACATTCAAAGGGATCATGACAGACAGAAAGAGGCATGCAAGATTCATGAGTACACTGAGAAAGAAAACATATTTGTGTGGATTTTCCTAGTTTCAAAGATTCTATGCCATTCATGAGGAGTTGTTTCTCTGAGGTCTTTAGAGGGACAAGATCAAGTCCTTGACTATGGAGACCAAAAAGATCCTAACTCTGCATCAGGTTGGGTGAAGCTGGCGCATGACCCAGAGGAAGGAAAGGAGGAGAGATTCAGGGAGAAGCGGTCCACACTTCAGCAAGCTGATTCACAGGTTTGTCAACAGGCAGATGAAGAACAGAGATGTTGGGGACTGGGGGCTGGCTTTCGGCAACATTTAGCAGTGACTGTTTCCCAAAAGGCAAATCAGATGGTGGTTCTTGGTGAGGCAATCAGCAGCAGGAAGGCTGGCAGCAGCTGGATCCACAGCCCTGGGCCAGGCACCCAGGCAGGCAGCAGCAGGTGGGGTGGTAGCAGGTTCTCGTGCAGTACACGGGTGTACAGAAAACTGGCTGGCAGCAGCTGGAGCCACAGCCACTAGACCCACAGCCGCTGGACCCACAGCAACTGGGCTGGCAGCAGCTGGACACACAGCAGCTGGGCTGACAGCAGGTGGTCCTGCAGCAGGTGGTCTGACAGCAAGTTGGGCGGCAGCAAGGCTGGCAGCAGCTGGACCCACAGCCGCTCGACCCACAGCAGTTTTGTCCACAGCTGCTGGACCCACAGCAACTGGGCTGACAGCAGGTGGTCCTGCAGCAGGTGGTCTGACAGCAAGTTGGGCGGCAGCAAGGCTGGCAGCAGCTGGACCCGCAGCTGCTCGACCCACAGCATGTGGGCTGGCAGCAGGTGGTCCGGCAGCAGGTGGTCCGGCAGCACGTAGGCTGGCAGCAAGGGGAGCAGCACGAGTGGGTCATGGTGTGTGGGGTGGAGGGTGGGCAGGTCCTGTTCAGAGGTGAGGTTCTCAGATTCTGGTGCCTCCTCCAGATCTGAGGCTTTTATGCGCTGGACCCCAGAAGTTTAGACCAATGGGCAGGACTTTCCTTGTTGGTGTTTACATTGTTTTCCATAGTCACTGGGGGAATCATAAACAAGGAAGTTGCTTCCAAAATGTTACAGGAATCATTACAAAATAAGCGTTTAATGGTTTCCTATTTGAGAGCAACTAGTAGAAACATTTTCAGATGAAAGGAAATTGGTCACATCAGCAGCATCATTCTTGCTTCAATGATCACTGCATCCATCATGTGATCAAGTCCCGATCAGCTGGGTAGAGTCTGAGTAGTGGTCCCTCTCCAGCCTTGGTCCTTACATTATATTTGGTTTGGGAGTATCCCCAAGGGGCAGGATTCTGACATGCTCATTGGGGCAAATTTGGTAGATCCCTAAACCCAGTTCTGATTCCCCACAGAAGCCTGATCCAAACTCCTACAGGCATAGCCATCTTTTGTAGCACCCTACCCCATTTGCATATCTCAGGTCAATATAAGACCCTTGTGCACCTGATCTCGTGTTATCTCTTGCATATGGCAAGGCAGAACCAAAGCAGGTGGGTAGAAGCCGCAGCGGTACACTGGGGCTAAGCAAGCATCAGTCAATGTATGTCCTTGTTGACCAGTACTCCTGATTTACCTTCGATTGAATGCTTTCACAGGATATGGGACTTTTAGGGGCTATAACTGGAGCAATATGGGCAAACCAGGTGAGTTGGTGGCTCTAGTCCTAATCTTTTTAGCTACCCTAGTCAGAGTCTTCACAAAGGTGATTAATTATTTATTTATGGTTGGTGTTTTTGTTTTTGTTTTTTGGTCAGGGTGCCTGTTTTTCTGCCCTACTCCTGTCCTCCCTGCATCTCTGTCTCTCCCTCCCTCTGTCCTTTCTTTCCTTCCCTCCATTCTTTAGTGTCTATCTTTCTTTTTTCCCCTCTCCTTCCTTCATCTTTCTCTTCCTCTCTTCCTTCCTTCTATCCTTCCTTCCACCCTCCCTTCTACTTTTCTCCCTACCCTTTTTCATCCTCCCCTTCACCTTCCACCATCTTTAGTTTCTTTCAATCATTTTGTCCATCCACCAAGGCAAATTTAAAAAAATAGTGGAATGAATGCTGAAATCCATAGATTTTCAAAGATGTCTTGAATATGCCAGTCTGTATCTTGGATATCTGTGTGTTTGGGACAATTTCTACCTACCAGGCCTGCAAATCCATGCCTAAGTGCTCTTTTCATGCACAGCAGAATGTCAGGTTGTATGAGCATGCCACACACACAAAAAAAACACTCAAATCTTGCTTCTGGAGAGTTGGTTTATAAAGACTCTAGCTCCCTCCAGCTGAAATAGGAGAATATCAATGTTGTGTGTGTGTGTGAGTGTGTGTGTGTGGCTCTGTGTGTGTGTGTGTGTGTGTGTGTCTGTGTTACATCATTTCTGGGATATCTTTCAGGGTAAAGCTTTAGTTGCAAACTGTGTGGCTGGCCTCAAAGTGCCTCTTCCCAGTGATATGCCCCTATATTCCGCTCAGTCTCGATTTACTCACCTCTACAATGGGAACCTTAATACCTACTCTGAAAATTCCTCCAAGAATTAAAATGAATCTTCATGAAGTATTCAGTCAACATCCAGCAATATTAGGAAACTTAGGTCGTGTCCGTTTTTCCATCTCATTTTGCAAACATCTAGCTCTTCAGGACTAGCAGTAGGCAAGTTTGGCCTTGGCAGTCTCTCCAGAGCATCCTGGATACTTGGTCTCCAGTGGTGGCATGTGTCTCGCATAGGGGCCTTCGTAGCATCTCAGAGTTCTCTCCACTGCTCCCAGGAAGTGACCCAGGCCCTAGTCTCCTATTCCTCTCAGAGCCTGAATCAGGCCTCACAGCCCCGAGCCCAGAGGCAGCACCGTTAGTTCAGGACCAGAAGCTCCAGCCTTTGTTCATGACTCCTAGGAATGCCCACACTGTTGCCTCTTTTTTTCTTCCTCACATCCTCCTCACCCCCCTGGGACAGGCATCTCCCCCTCTACTCGGTTCCTCAGATTTCCTTCATAGAATACCAGCGGTGTTTCTGTTCCCTTAGATGGTTCAGAGCTCACGGATTACTCAAAGTCCTACATGCCCATTGCACGATCTCTCAGTCCCTGACACCGTCCTGCATTAACTGCCTGGGTAACATTTTGATCATGATGACAAACTGCCTTACAGGAGGGGAGATAAATAGATTTGGCAGAGCATTATGTGATACCATTTTATTATTTACTATACCATTAGGTCCTGAGGACCAGAAGCCACACACAAATGTGATTTCCATGTCCCAAACACATGTGTGTTCAGCTGTGTCTGTTGCTGGCGAGGACACTGCTGGCTCACCTGTATCTGATGCAGAGGAGTGCTGAGGGGCTGGACGGTACCCGAGGCAACAAAACGATCCTGTGTTCACAAGAGCTCTAAAGGGCAGGTCCTGCTGTCCTCACATATGGCTGCTGTGGTTGAGTTGTAGGACACCAGTGTCGACAACTGAGTCCCACATATCACTCGCGTCTACAGGAGAATAACACCTCTGTGGTCAAAAAAGACCTCAAATGAGCATCTTGCTGGTGCTGAGACTAGGTGTTTTTCTAACACGTCTGAAGATCTGAATGTAAGTGCGCTTCAGCAAGCGCAGGAACCACCATCTGGGATCTCAGTCTGTCCCTGTCAGCTCTGTGACATGCCACTGTGAAATGCCCTCGTCTGAAAATGCACATAATAATTTGTGGAGAAATGTGTATGGCTCCAAATAGACACTGCATGTGATGTGCAACGTATGTACAAATCCTTACGTTGGGAACAGTGTACAGAAAAACAAAGACAAAATATGAGATTCCAAATGATACAAGATTTATTAAGAGATGTAGGTAAGGATCACTGGGTCTAGGGAGACACTCAAAGGGATCATGACAGGCCTAAAGAGGCATACAAGATTCATTGAGAAAGAAAACATACTTTATGGACTTTCAGTAGTTTCAAAGAATTCCATGTCATTCATGAGAAGTTGTTTCTCTGAGGTCTTTAGAGGGACAGGATCAAGTTCTTGACTATGGAGACCAAACAGATCTTAACTCTGCATCAGGTTGGGTGAAGCTGGCGCATGACCCAGAGGAAGGAAAGGAGGAGAGATTCAGGGAGAAGCGGTCCACACTTCAGCAAGCTGATTCACAGGTTTGTCAACAGGCAGATGAAGAACAGAGATGTTGGGGACTGGGGGCTGGCTTTCGGCAACATTTAGCAGTGACTGTTTCCCAAAAGGCAAATCAGATGGTGGTTCTTGGTGAGGCAATCAGCAGCAGGAAGGCTGGCAGCAGCTGGATCCACAGCCCTGGGCCAGGCACCCAGGCAGGCAGCAGCAGGTGGGGTGGTAGCAGGTTCTCGTGCAGTACACGGGTGTACAGAAAACTGGCTGGCAGCAGCTGGAGCCACAGCCACTAGACCCACAGCCGCTGGACCCACAGCAACTGGGCTGGCAGCAGCTGGACACACAGCAGCTGGGCTGACAGCAGGTGGTCCTGCAGCAGGTGGTCTGACAGCAAGTTGGGCGGCAGCAAGGCTGGCAGCAGCTGGACCCACAGCCGCTCGACCCACAGCAGTTTTGTCCACAGCTGCTGGACCCACAGCAACTGGGCTGACAGCAGGTGGTCCTGCAGCAGGTGGTCTGACAGCAAGTTGGGCGGCAGCAAGGCTGGCAGCAGCTGGACCCGCAGCTGCTCGACCCACAGCATGTGGGCTGGCAGCAGGTGGTCCGGCAGCAGGTGGTCCGGCAGCACGTAGGCTGGCAGCAAGGGGAGCAGCACGAGTGGGTCATGGTGTGTGGGGTGGAGGGTGGGCAGGTCCTGTTCAGAGGTGAGGTTCTCAGATTCTGGTGCCTCCTCCAGATCTGAGGCTTTTATGCGCTGGACCCCAGAAGTTTAGACCAATGGGCAGGACTTTCCTTGTTGGTGTTTACATTGTTTTCCATAGTCACTGGGGGAATCATAAATGAGGAAGCGGTTTCCTAAATGTTACAGGAATCATTACAAAATAAATGATTAGTGGTTTCCTATTTTAGAATAACTCACAGAAACACTTTTAAATGAAAGGAAGGGGGTCACACCAGTGGCATCGGTCTTGCTTCAATGATCATTGCATCCATCATGTGATCAAGGTCTGCTGGGCTGGGTGAGGTCAGAGTAGTGTTCTCTCCCCAGTCTTTGTCCTTAGATTGTAGGTGGATTGGGAGTATCTCTGAGGTGAGGGGACATGATGCTGATATGTTCACAAGGACAAATTTAGTAGATGGCCTGAGTCCAGGTCTGTTTCCCCACAGAAGCCTGATTCAAGACTCCCACAGGCATATCTGTCTTTTGTAGCAGCCTATCCCACCTGCATATCTCAGTTCAATCAAAGACCCTGGGTAGCCAATGTCTGGTGTTATCTCTTGCATATGGCAAGGCAGAGCCAGAGCAGGTGGGTAGAAGCAGCAGCGGTACACTGGGGCTAAGAAAGCATCAGTCAATGTATGTCCTTGTTGACCAGTACTCCTGATTTACCTTTGACTGAATGCTTTCACAGGATGTGGGACTTTCAGGGGTAACTGAGGTGTAACCGGGGCAGTAAGGGCAAACCAGGTGAGTTGGTGACTCTAGTCCTAAGCTTGTTAGCTAGCCTAGTCTGTGTCTTCACGTAGCTGATGACATCTTTATTTGTGGTTGCTCTTTCTTTTTTCCGTCAGGCTGTCTTTTTTTCTGCTTTTCTCCCTTCCTCCCTGCATCCTTGTCCATTCCTTCCTCCCTCATCCTTCTTTCCTTCCTTCCTTCCCTTCATTCTTCCCTTTCTTTCTTCTCTTCCCTTCTTCCCTTCCTCCCTCCCTCGCTGTTCTTCCCTCCCCACTTCCTTCTATCCTTCCTTCCTCCCTCCCTCCCTTCTCCTTTTTCCCTATGCCTTCTCCCCCCTCATCTTACACGATCTTCTTCTGTTTCTTCCAATTATTTTGTCCATCCACCAAGCCAATTAACAAAATAATGGAATGAATTTTGAAAACCATAGATTTTCAAAGACATCTTGAATATATCAGCTCAAAATCTTGGATATTAGTGTGTTTGAGACAATTTCTCCCTATCAGATCTGCAAATCCATGCCTAAGTGCTCTTTTCATGCACAGCAGAATGTCAAGGTGCCAGAGCATGCCACACTTAGAGAAAACATGCTTCTGGAGAGTTGGTTTATAAAGACTCCAGATCACTTGTTGCTGAAATACAAGAATCCGTGTGTGTGTGTGTGTGTGTGTGCGCGCGCGTGCGCACGTTTGTGTTTTACATCATTTCTGAGATATCTTTCAGGGTAAAGCTTTAGTTGCAAACTGTGTGGCTGGCCTCAAAGTGCCTCTTCCCAGTGATATGCCCCTATATTCCGCTCAGTCTCGATTTACTCACCTCTACAATGGGAACCTTAATACCTACTCTGAAAATTCCTCCAAGAATTAAAATGAATCTTCATGAAGTATTCAGTCAACATCCAGCAATATTAGGAAACTTAGGTCGTGTCCGTTTTTCCATCTCATTTTGCAAACATCTAGCTCTTCAGGACTAGCAGTAGGCAAGTTTGGCCTTGGCAGTCTCTCCAGAGCATCCTGGATACTTGGTCTCCAGTGGTGGCATGTGTCTCGCATAGGGGCCTTCGTAGCATCTCAGAGTTCTCTCCACTGCTCCCAGGAAGTGACCCAGGCCCTAGTCTCCTATCCCTCTCAGAGCCTGAATCAAGACTCACAGCCCTGAGCCCAGAGGCAGCACCATTAGTTCAGGACCAGAAGCTCCAGCCTTTGTTCATGACTCCTAGGAATGCCCACACTGTTGCCTCTTTTTTTCTTCCTCACATCCTCCTCACCCCCCTGGGACAGGCATCTTTCTCCCCCCTTGGTTCGTCACAGTTCCTTCCCAAAATACTGGAGGTTGTTCCTTTCCCTTTGATGGTTCTGAGCCCAAGGATTACTCAAAGTCATACATGACCATTGCACCATGTCTCAGCCCCTGACATTATCCTTCTTTAATTGTCTTGGTAACACTTTGATCACAATGACTAATTGTCTAATAGTTGGGGAGCTCAATAGGTTTGGCAATAATTATATGACACCTTTTTACTCTGCCAGTAGGCCCTGAGTACCAGGAAGCCACACAAGAATGTGATTTCCATGAACCACCTACATGTATGTTTAGCTCTGTCTCTTTCTCGTGAGAACACTGTATGCTCACCTGTATCTGACGTAGTGGAGTTCTGAGGGACTAGAAGGCATCAAATGCAACAAAATTCCTATGTTCACAAGAGCTCTACAGGGCAGGTCCCACTGCCTCCACATGTGGTTACTGTTGGCTGAATTGTTGGACACTGATGTGTATAATTTAATTTCAGGTATCACCTGCAGATACAGGAGAATATTATTTCCTTGGTCAAAGAAGACACTCAAGTGAACATGTCACTAGTCTTGAGTCTCAGGGTGTTTTCTAACTTTTCAGGAGATAATGAATATAAGTGTGTTTCATCAAGGGCAGGAGACACAGTCTGGTATCTGAGTGTGTCCATGACAGCCTGTGACAATCCACTGTGAAATTTATTCATCTGAAAATGGAGATAATAATTTGTGAGAAACTGTATGAGGCTCCACATGTGTGCTGCATTTGGTATGTATCCTGTGTACAAATATCTAATTGGGAACACTGCAGAAAGAAATGAACATCATATGGGATGTGGATGGTATAGGCTTTATTAGGAAATAAAGTTGAGACACTGTGTCTTAGAATGAATCACATTCTACATGGATCACGAGAAGAAAAAAAGGATATAAGAACCATGAGTATACTAAAAAGGAATGATTTGAAGACTTTCAGTAGTTGCAGACACCTATGTATGAATCATAAGGATTTCTTTGTCTATGTTACTGATAGGGAGAGGGTGACAATCTGACTGTGGAGTCAAGGCAGAGATCATGACTCCATATCAGGATGCATGAAGCTGGCACATGATCCACAGATGAAGGAAGATGAGACTCAGGTAGAAGTGTTCCACACTTCATCCAGTTGATTCACAAGCTTGTAAAGTTGTTGACTGTGTGCAGGCTTTCAGCAATACTGGCAGTGACAAATCAGTGTTGTGTGCAGATGGTGCCTCTTGGCAAGACAATCAGCAGCAGGAAGGCTGGCAGCAGCTTTGGACACACAGCATATGTGGTAGCAGGGGGTCCTATAGCAGGTGGTGTTGCAGCAGGTTGGGTGGCAGCAAGGCTGGCAGCAGCCTGATCCAAGCCCTGGGTTAGGCAGGCAGGGTGGTAAGAGGTCTTCCTGCAGTATACAGGTGTGCAGCAAGTTGGCTGGCAATAGATGGACCCACAACAGATTTGTCCACAGCCAGTGGACCTGTAGCAGGTGGTATGATATTTAGTTAGGAGGCAGCAAGGCAGGCAGCAGCTGGCCCCACAACAGTTTGTCTGCAGCCACGGGTCCAACAGCAGGTGGCCCTGAGCACAGAGTCTGGCAGCAGGGGCTGCAGCCAGAGTGGATCATGGCCTCAGATGTGGAGAGTTCGGTTTCTGAGCAGAGATAAATTTTTAAGGATCTGAAATTATCTTCTCCACTAGGCCTCTCATACCCTGGTTCCAAAATTGGAACCAATGATCAGAATCTTCCTGGTATCATTTATGATATCTTTTTCTAGAGGCATGGAGAATTAGCCAAGGAGGAAGAATCCCCTAGAGATTATGAACTTCTGAATGTAAATGAGAGGATTGTTTCCCTAGTTAAAAGATAACCCTCAGGAACTTATTTTCAGAAGTGGAAGAGGCAATGAGCAATAACAGCATCATTTAATTATGCATCAGTATTTTTCAAGACAGAATACATCTTCTGGTCACCTGACAATTCAAGCTAATATGGAGAAGTCAGAACCACTGTCACCACCTACTTTTTCCCTTTGGCACTACCTATTTTGGGATACTTTAACACATTTTTAACTAAAGCCATATTTTCACAAGATATAAATCTGTGTCACAAAATTCAACAACTGATAAATCTATTAGTAGCAAGCAACTTCACTAGGTATCTTGTTTCCTACAACAGGGGATTGATTTGAGTATAACTGATACAGTCTTTTACATGCTGAGCTCCAAATCTGTTGACAAAGCTGATTAAAAAAAAAAAAAAACTTTCTCTGGAGATAGTATATTTACATTTAATGGTAAAGAGAAAGGTTTCAAAGAAGTTTGACAACTAGAATATTTGCTTTGAATTGCAGTTTAAAAAAACAAACACCAATAAATATTTTCCCAAGAAGACATATAAATGGCCAATGGATACAAGAAAAGATGCTCAACATCACTGATCATTAGGGAAATGGAAATCAAAACCACAATGAGATATCACCTTACACCTATCAGAATGGCTAGAATCAAAAGGAAAATATATAACAAGTAATGGTGAGGATATGGAGAAAAAGAACCCTCATGCACTATTGGAGGAATGTGAATTGGTGTAGCCCCTCTGGAAAAAAGCATGGAGGCTCCTCAAAAAGTTAAAAATAGAATTACCATATGATCCAGTAATTCCACCACTGGATATCTACCCAGAGAAAATGAAAACACTAACTTGAAAAAATATATGCACCCCCATATTTATTGCAACATTATTTACAATAGCCAAAATATGGAGGCATCCCAAGTGTCCATTAATAGATGAATGAATAAGGAAGATGTGGTATATGTAAAGAATGGAATATTACCCAGTCATAAAAAAGAACAAGATCTTGCCATTTCCAATGACATGGATGAATCTAGAGAACATAATACTAAATGTAGTAAATCAGAGAGAGAAAGACAAAAACCATTATGATTACACTGGCATGTGGAATCAAAGAAAAAAAACAAACAAATAAAGGAAAAGGGAAACAAATGAAAAAACAGACCATTAAATACAGAGAACAAACTACCACTTTCCAGAGGGGAGGTGGGTGAAATAGATAAAATGGATTAAGAGTACATTTACCGTGGGG